CATGATGACGAGCAAGGGTGGCGCCGAGGGTTACTTGTTCACTGCTACCCGTGTCTTGCCCATTGAGGGTAGAGTCGAGGCGCGCGGACACCATGGTAAGAAGAAGAGGAAAGTTGGAGAGAATGAGCAGGTAGCTGTGGAGGCGTAGAGGCTATATCAGTGGTTCGGATATGATTTGATGGCCATATGCTGTTTATCTAGTTCAATGCATCGCACTCGATATCGAGGGATTGTTCGAATCCTCTTTCTTCAAGTCATAATTATAAATAGCGATTGTTGTGTTTTACATTTCATCGCCCTCAACATGTTGGCTCGACAGCGCTCACAATCAGCAACTCTCATGTATGTGTTCACGATATAGCAAGACTATTCAATCTCCTTACCGCAAGTCAAATCCGTACAGTAATTGAATGAAACCAATTGAAGGCCACCATTGCTCGCCCCTGAAATCTATTTGCGGAAGATCAAGATACGCAAAGCAATGTGACATTTGCTATATAAACATGGCTCTTTGAGCATGCTTTGCCGTGAAACAGCCAAAAGCGGTAGGCCTGGAAGATGAAAAGCACGTCATCCACCTGCGCATTTCAAAACAGTCTTAGCAAAGCCAAAACTGTCATCTTGGCCTGCTCAGAGTCAACGATACCGTACCATATGAGGGATATCAAACAGAAATTGTTCTTGCGAGGCCACAACAGTAGTCTTGGCCTGTCCAAAGTGAACGCTAACAGACCACATGAGGAATAACAAACAAAAATCGCAGCGTAAACGCACACAATCATGTCGCTTCGACAACGCCGCCTGACCTCAAACGCTTCCCATAGGTTGGTTTTGAGCAAAGCGCCCCACACACCTTGGGCGTTAGGCGCAAGTATAGAGTGAATGTACAATGAACACGTGCACACCGTTGCGTTCACGCACAACATGCCTGGCATATAAACAATGTGCAGATCGCTTGTTCCTTTCTCATCAACCGCTTTTGGATACTGAGTATACGATTATATAGACTCCATCAAATCCTCTGTTCACTCCAATCGACCAGCAGCTTTTATATATCGAATCTGTTAACTCGATACACTTGCTCAATTCCAAGTATGTCCACTCAATTTCCAATAGATATATTAGCTGACCATCTGCAGTTCAATCCTTGATATTCACAATGGCTTACTTCATCATCACTTCGTTCAAGAAAGCCATCTGCGAAATCAGTAGTTCTTCGACCGCCGAAATTTCTCATTCACAAATCCAACCCGATGATCAGGAGATGGTTCGTTCAGTGAAGAGCATTCATGGTAACAAGGTGTTTTGTGATCTTTCTGTTCCGAACCATAATACGGTAAGTTCCCAAAAAAGATGATTGTGTGCGATGGATTGCTGACCGACAATCCGAACAGATTGCCGCACGAATCCACATGGCAACCAACAATACATGGAAGGACTACCGCCGCACCACGATGAACGCAAAAGATATGTCCGAAATAACTGCATCTACACCTCGCAGTGACAATGGCAGTGGGCGGGCATCAAGCCCTGAGACAGATGACACTTCCTATTGTGGAAGCGAATATATCAACAAGATGGGATACCTCGTAGAGGCACTGAGAAAACAGAAGCTCAACTTCCGAGCCGCATGCCTCGAACTAGAATTGTACAAGAAATGTAAGAGCTATCAAAAGCTCGAGCAAAAGGCCCTTGAACAATGTGAGCAGCGAATCAGAGACAAGGCCCTCGTCGATCAAGCCTACGAGGAGTTTTTGTCAATGGAGACACTCTATCAGGAGGTCACCAAGGCGTACGAGGAATCGAAAGCCCTTCTGGAGAAGAAAGATGAGGAGCACCAAGCAGCCTTGGAAGAGAAGGACCAGGAGCTGGAGAAGCTCAACAATGAGCATCGCTCCGTACTGACAGCCATCCACGAGATGCATGAGGCAAAGCTCGCAGAAGTCAATCGAGATGCTGCCGAAAAGCGCCATTTGCTGGAGAAGCGCCATCTCGAGGCGCTACGCGCACTCACAGAAGTGAGTAAGAAGAACCGTTGCGTATGGGAGAATGCACAAAACGCAATGGAGGCGGAAGGTGAGCAGATGACATGCGAATACCGCGATGCTCTGCGCGAAAACGAAGATGAGATCATGCGCTTGACAAATTGCAATCACGACCTCAAAGCCGAGAATAACCTGTTGGTCGGCATATTGACCGACAGACCTGGTGATGAGTTGCAAGAACACGCTCAACACGTGTTCGCAGAGGTCCAACGCATGAAAAGTGAGTTGGAGGATGCGCGTGCAGATCTCCAAGTCGCGCACATTAAGATTGAGAACATTTTGGAGGCAATGCAACAGCAACGTGACCACTATGAGTCTCACGGCGACAAGGAGCAAGAAGCCCAGGCACAATTGTATGATCTTCAGAAGAAGATTGACGAGTTTCAAGAGAAGCTTGCTATTAACGATCATTTGCTTCGCGCTGTCGATATTATCCCCAAAGCCTCAAACACCATGGAGTCCGAGTGTCTTTCGGGAATTGCTTCGAAGATCCAAAAGTCTGACGACGAAGTCAAGCTTCTTCGTGCAGAGAATGAAGAGCTTCGATCGAAGGCCAACAAGACGGACGATGACAATCTCGAAATTTCTCTCAAATGTGATATGATGGAGCACGAGATGAATCTCGCTCGAAACAAGCTGGGAGTTCTCGAGGCAAAGCAAAGCCTCCTTCTCATAGAACGCAACTTCCTCGCCGACGCAGTCGCGGAGGATGATTGCCTCACAGCGGAGGACAAAGACCTCCTCCGCCGACATCTCCGTCAAACACGGGAGGAGAACGAGAGGCTGAGAGACCGCAACATCACGGTCTCGAAGGAGAATGCCGATCTCCAACAATACATCAATCAAGTCCAGGATAAGGCTGAGGTCAAGATCCAGCAAGCGGACAAGGCCGCAGCGTACTGGCAGACTCTTTACTGGGCCGAGGCAGTCCCAAAGACAGAAGCACTCAGTAAAGAGATTCACGAACTCAACAAGGAGTTGGGTCGTGATAACGTCCATGTCCAGGAGCGCCTCGAGCGCAACGTCGCTGTCGCAGACAGGAACGCGCTGCGATTCGCCTGCGCCACTACGTTGCACGGCGTTGACACCAACATCATCCCGGCCGAATACTACGAGCCGGGATTCACACCAGGCTGGCTCCCAGCCACTCATGATGCTCTCCGTCTGCTGCGACCTCTGGGATGGGTACCAGTCGCAGAGTTGGACAAGGTGTGGCTTGCACCGATGTACAGGCCATTTACTGAAGAAGATGCGAAGCAGCGACTTGAAGCCCAGGGGCAGATAGTTCGCAAGCAGCATCGCAAGGCGATGGGGGCTCCTCCTCTACCAGGCATGTTTCATCTATCTCTTCGCAACAGCAATCTCACTGATAGCAGCCTAGATGGTCCTTCAGATAACGCTGCCGCCTCCGATCGAGTCGAAACCCTACCTCCATCGTGGGTACCTGTCTGCGATCGAACTCCCATACCGCGCACGCCATATCAAGAGCCGTACGCGCCTCCATATCAGATTGAGTGGCTGAAGAAGCGTGCAAATCTCACGCGAGAAGCCTACAATGATATGGATAACATACTCAAGTTGGACGTGCTGGACATGCTTGGTATTCAGACAGAGTCCGCAGAGACATCTGGCAGTCCAAGCCACATAGTCTCGTACAATTTTGAGGAGGACCCGGAAATCTTCTGATGATACAGGAGTGCTAGGAAGATATATATCCTGATATTGGAGTTGAGGACACAAAAGGCTGATGCACGGATGGTGAGATGAGGTTCGATTTGAGTTTGTGGGGTTACGATTCCCACTAGTAAGTAGATCCTGCGGCGGCTGGCGCTTATTTGCATGATCCTTGCTACAGGCGTGCATGCGCGTGTATTCTTGGGATTTTGACAGGCGCACTGGATATTATCATTGTTCATGCATGGTTTTTTCTTTCTATACAAAATCAATATACACATATTGCGACTTGACTTAGTAGGCACAGCATACGAATTGATCATTTCGCTATTACTTGCAACTGACTGACGGTGAGTTCCAAGTGTTGAGACCACAGGATCAAGAGAACGTGATTTCATCTCACAATTCTCTCGACGCAGCGTGTCGACAATTACTTCAGATTCGTACATCACTGCAACACACAATGTATTCCTTCGTTGTGATTCAATTGCTGATCGTTGTATCAATGTTGCTCAGGCGGTATGTCCCATTGGCGCACGCAGTCTATCACTGATACCGTAAGCACGAACTGACGGCAGATAGCGCACAAACCATGTGAGTCTTTTGCAGTCGCTTTGCAAAATTCTTCGACGATTCCACACAAACTGCCTTACCTCACATTACCTAGAGATAAGCTACGCGGGTATATTCGTTTACTCCCGCTAAACAGGCTAGTTCACCTCCCCACAGACCAGCCACAAAACCCAAGAATCAGAGCTACGGAATCGGCCCGCTGCAGATGTCTCGCCTACTCGAAGATCTTTTGCCGGGATCTTTTCCTAATCTGTACTTGCATGAGGCTAGGAAAACGCATCGGGACGCACAGTGAGAGAAACTGGGCACAAATTCGCTCTGCTCTAGACCGTTTGCTCCACACCACAGCAACCAAAGTCAAGTAAGGCAATGCTGCCTGGGGGAGGCTGGGCCAATAGCTCGCTGTCACCTCATCGAACACTGCCTGTTTGGGATCTAGTACCCACCTTGAGCATGTTCATCCCCAAGATGACGACCAAAGTAAGACATCTCCTGTATGCTAGGACCATCCGTTACTAACCAACCCCTCAGTCGCTTAGTCGGAGCCCAGCCTCCATCGCACATATCAATTTTCTGTAATCTTGCAGTTTCAATTCCTGTTTCTCGCTACATCTCACTCAATACCGTGTACTTTCAAATCGCTACAACACCACTTTCTATCATCATATAACTACTCTCATCATTTTATACCTCCTCCTATCCGATATCATGACTTCTCAGAATTCTTTCCAGCCCCTGAGCGACGACATGGAACTGGCGTCATCCAGCTTCATGGAAGACAGCTTCTTCGATTTCAATGGCGCTTCTTCTGACTGCAATATACCCATTGCCGATTCGAGCGATGACCTGCCACCCAGCTTTGCTGAGGAAGCGTTCTGGGGCGACTTGGAGGAGCTCCCTCAGCTCGAGCCTTCTACGAGTCAGAACAGCTTCTTGGACTCCTTCGCATCGGAGGACACCTTCAGCAGCTTCCAGAGCGACATGTCGCTCTGGACTGTGGAGGTTCCCAGCGAAGAGCTTGTTGACACTCAGTGCGACTGGCCGTCCTCACCTCCAACAAAGACTTCTGATCTACCAATGGTAGACACAAGCACCACAACACCGCCTGTACCCCAGGCTACTGAGCCTGCTCGAGTCCAATCATCAGAGCAGCCAGTGGGTGCAATTGAAGCTTTGTGGGGACCTATCCTGAGTTCCAGTCCACAGCAGCCTGCTCTTACTCCTCCAACCAGAAAGGAGCCACTACCAAAGATGAAGGCCACAAAGATGATCAAGCAGAAGTCGACACCTAAGAAGAAGACTCCCAAGAAGCGCGCCACCCCCACGCGACGCTCTACAGACCGCTCCATGAAAGACCTCTACAACTCAACATGGGCCAGTCTTACCGACGAAGAAAAAGGCCGTCTCCTCCTTCCTCTCCTCCAGGGCATCGACCCAAACACAAGCAAGAAGATCACCGAAGCTGGTACCTTGCTGTCGCCCCCAGACTATGAAGCCATCGGCGCAAACACTCACGTCGATATCACTCAGTCTCCATATCCGAATACAAACCTCGTTTCAAGCAGCCCGTCCGCTTCCACTGCCCACAACGCCGACTTTGCCGTGGCAATCCCTGAGTACCTTCCGTACATCAGTGACACCACGTCTTTCGATGACATCAATCTCGGCGCTATCGAGGCGTTCAACAGGGGCGACACATGCGCTACTGATGCAACGGGCGAGTTTGGCATTGACACCACGGGTACAGTTGGTGAAGGGCTCGGCGGTCCCTGTGGCAATGGTATCATTGGCGGCCCGATAGAGATGCCTGCTCATCCCTCCGTGTATGGAAGTGCCCGCCAGCAGGAGGCGCTTGAGCGCAATACTATGCTGCGCGCACAGGGTCGTCGTCGCTAGATGGACTTGTGTCGGAGGATATTATATGATACTGGCGTTTGTTGCTCTTTTGTTTCTGGCGTTTGGGGTTGCGGAGTGCTTTCTAGGTTATACAATGGAAGTTGCTTTTTCACCTTGACGAAAGGATGAATGATTGGCTGGGAGGAGTACTGACGCGATGTCACAATTGGTCATTAGGACCTGTACAAGCGATTGTAGTATAAGCTCGAAGCCTCGACATCGTTACGATGCTTTCTTTAATTGAAAATAATGATAGATGATTTTTTAACATTCAAGTTCCCGATAGTAATACTCTCCATCTTCATAAATGCGACAACCGCGCAGAGAACGCACGTCACTTCTTCTCCTGTGCCAACCTCTCATACATGGCCGCTTCGAATTTGCGCTGCAGCCCCGAAACCGTTGCATCTCCCGGCGGAACAACTTGAGCACCGTAGATACCACAAAGCCCCGTCTTGCGATCAACCCACCAGATGAGATTCGGGTACCCGCCCCAAACCATGGTTCCGGCTTTCTTGCCATCGGGACCATCGCCCGTTAGAAGAACGCCACCAAGCGCATGATCCTTGGGCACGCCAATTGGCAGGCCACCCATCGCGTTGCTTGCCTAAAAAGTCGAATCGTCAGCTCCATAATAATCGTATTGGAAAAACATAACAGAAGACATTGTGAAAGAGAGAAGAAAAGTAAACATACCGCTTTATCCTCCAAAGCCGCCGTAAGTGTCTCCCGACTCTTATCCCCCAACTGCGCCTTACACAGCTCGTCCACAGACTCCTTCTTCAAAACCGCACCCTCCTTCCCACCATCCGCATCCAATAACGCCTTCAAAATCTTCGCATACTCCTCCATCGAGGCAAAAACACCCTGACCCCCCATATGGCTCGTGACCTCCTTCCCTTCCCCATCCACATACGGCAGCGGTCCGGAGAAATCCACAACCTTGCCTGTCGAAGGGTTCCGCGCTGACATATCCGCGAGACGCGCTGCGAGATCCGGGCGGGAGGAGAGGGAGAAGGTCATATCTTTGATGCCGAGGGGAGTCCAGATATTCGCTTTCATGTAGTCTTCGAGCGTCTGGCCGCTTATGCGCTCGATGAGGAGCCCCGCGAAGTCGATGCCGGGACCATACGCCCAGCTCTCGCCGGGCTCGAAGACGAGTGGGTAGGAAAAGCGTTCGACGAGGTTGCCACTGCTTGCCGGGGCGCGGTTGTGGTACTTGAGCCAGGCCTGGTTTACCGGGTGGATGAATTCGTAGGCGAGGCCGCTGGAGTGGGAGAGCAGGTTGCGCAGGGTGATTGGCTTTGTGTGTTTTTCTTCAATGGGCTCGCCGGCATCGGTGAAGCCTTTAATTACTGTGCGGGATTCTAGCTCTGGGAGGTGCTTGTAGACGGGGTCGTCGAGGGAGACGAGGCCGCGTTCTACAAGTTGCAGGGCGGAGATGGAGGTCATGAGTTTGGTGCAGGATGCTATCCACATGATTGTGTCGAGTTGCATGGGCTTGTTGTTATCGGGCTTCATGGAGGCTTTGCCAAAGGCTTTGGAGTATGTGAATGTCCCTTTTTTGGTTTTTGTTAGACTGGGGACTTGGGGTTTGAGCATAGAATGAGTGTAGATATACCGTCGCGGTTCGTCGCTGATAGAGCGCAACCAGGAATTTCCTCCGCAGCAATGGCATCGTTAATGGCCTTTTCAAAGTCCGTCATTGTTGCAGATGCAATGTAATCGTGAATTCAGCCTAGGGTTTGCTGATAATATCAATGATCCCAGCAAGTATACGTGGCACTTGGGGTAGAAGAGGAGTCACGAAAGTTGCAAATTCCCCTTTAGTTTTGGCGATTGGTACAATCGAATCGAATGTCAAGTTCCAAGAGTGGTTCGTATTTAAGCATTACACAAGACGCAACGTGGTAGCTTTTACATCTAGTTGTTGCCTGATTGTGGATACGTACAAATATTTGTCATCGCCAAGTGGGGTAACAACAATGCCTCGGTTTCTCGGATCATGCATCGGGTAGCTGCATCGCGACTACAATTTTGGAACGAGTCAGGCAGTCAGTCCGGTATTCAAGCAGACATTGAACTAATGCAGTTATGTTTTCGGATCTTATCTTCGGTTATATTTAGAGTGTCTTCCACGTTCCAATCTCTGACTGCAACTTAGAGTCCATTCTGGGTTAGACTTTGAACAGGGGCGGCCGCTAGCGTAGCACATGTATCTACATGTGTATAGACGAAAGAAAACTGAGAGCCTCATGTTCGCCATGTAAAGTTTCACCACATGTTGTGTGCTGAAAGGTCCAATTGCCGTTGATGATTCAGCCGTTGAGGGTGCTATGAGTACAGAGGGGCTGGCAAAAATTGGACACCGGCTCTGAATACATGTTTTTTGCCACTATCGCTCACTATATAACACTGGTCAGTTTCAAGACAGAGATGTTATAGGCATCTGACTTACAAGCTTATCACTTCCACGCCGTCGGAAGTTTTGAATGCCCACAGAATAATCATAAGGTCGTCTGGTAGATCATGTAATTCCGGATCGTTCTTGTAGCTATCTTCATTTCTTATCACTTCTGCCATACCAGCTATCTGAACCCGAGGATCTTCGGGCTCAGGTTCTCGGTATGGATTAAAGTGTGTTGTCCATGGACCAGGGTCAAATTGCTCAACAATATCTGCCAAAACACGATAGTCGAGCATCGTGAGATGCTCCTTGAAGGTGAGATCTGGAACTCATTAGTACCACAAGAAAATGCTAGGCAGGTGAGTACTCACTGCCAATATTGCAGTTACTTGCATGGCCATTATTGTCTCCACAATCTATGCATGGTAACTTAGCCGTATTCTCTAAATCACTGTGAGACCATATGTCTGTTGCATGAGATGTTGCTGCTGAAGACTCCACAGTTGTTGAGGATGATTCTTGACGCTGAGTTGCCTCATAAAGATTTTGGAGGGGCGCAAATTGTTCGGGCAATCGATATGTTGGTACAGGTTGTTTTTCCAACACCTCCGGAGCACGAGAGAAACTATGTGAATATGCAGGTTTTGCTGGCGGAGGCAGCACTACCTGCGTTCTCTCTGCGTTGTAAGCTTCCCTAACCGTAGGATCAGACGCTTCTTGGGTCGCCAATCTAGGGCAAGGCGTTGCATGCGACAATTCCTGCTGGCCTGTTGCTTGAGCTTGAACAGCGCGGACTAGCGATTGTAACCCATGTTTTCTCTCCCAGTATTGCTTTACGCGAATATCAGTGTTGGCAGGGTATGATGGTACTTTCCCTCTGAACGACATCGGGAGACCAAGTAAATTGCGTAACTCGTACATGGTCTGCAGGTGCTGCGACGCTGTGCCGACTATAGCACTTCTCGAGCCAGGGTCACCTGCTGTTCCCGTCCAAACGATCTTGATATTATCATGTCTCTCACCGCTGTTATCTGCCACGAGTAATAGCTCCTCGGGTGTAACGAAGCCGTGAGCAGCTGCGCGGCGATCATCGTCGATAGAGCGGAACTCCCAATCACTGTTGTGTCGATAGGATTTTTCTAATTGACGAGCGGAGTGATCTTGATCAGTAGTTGACGGTTCGCTATCGTTTGGGTGTGCAATAGTGTGATCGTCCATGGCGTCAGCTGCCTACCTGCAATAGTGATGAACGGAAGGAATTCCAGATAGCACTAAGTTGAGAGACTGAAGTTGTTACTCGAAGTTGTATGAGGAGGCGAGGTTTAGGGTTGCTTAAAAACCTGACAAGCATGGCGAAGATCGCGTCAAAAGAAGGAGCCCCGGAGTGTGTTTACAAACGCCGCTGTCGCCACAACAGGAGATGAGGTCGCTTTCTAGCAGGAGCTATGGTATTGCAAGAAAGATTCCAAGCATGCTGTCCATGCCAATAAGAATGCCTACTAGTATTGAAGCTAAAAGGGCAGTCCACAGTATTTGTGGCCATGCGCTATCATCACGCGCCCGACAGTGTTGCCTTGATGCACTAGGACACATAAACAAGCTGATTGCTATGACCAAACCCACCATTGGAAACTACAATGAGGCCCACAGCAGTGCTATCTTCTGGAGTCTACTAGACCCCAGCCACTCATACGTAAAACATGGAGAAACGAAAATACAGTGAGATCGCAGAAAACAATCCACATTGAGAACGACTTGTATCGCTCGTTTACTTTGTGTGAGTTGCCGTTTCATCGTACCATTGCATATTTCACCGCCTATGTTTGGCAGCCTCCTTGCTTGCTTTGAAGTCTCAGATGGTCCACTTTTGGAACCATTTAAGGATAATAGATGTTGCCTCCGCTTCCTCACACGTCAACAGGTCAGCTGTATCGCCATTTGGAAAGGAGCTGGGCCAATCATGCCCGATGTTGGTGTAGTTGTAATGCACGACTACATCGTCCCAGCTATGCCTCGTCACCTTTCGCTCTCCATCGCACAGGTATGTAGTCGCATTGACAAGCGCATCGTATCCATTGCGCTGCGCCCAGTCATTCACGTATGTGACAATGTCTGAGCTGTTTGCATTGCCGCGCGTGTTGATCCCGCCTTTATATGGAATTGTAGTATCACGGTAGCCATGAAACTCCATTAACGGGACGGATTTACGACTGGGGTTACAAGATGGCGGTTGCTGATTCGCATCGAGGTAAAAAGCACCTGATACCGGAGCAAAAGCTGCGATGCGCTTTGTTGCTTCGGCGTCACATGCAAGAATGCCGGTAAAGCCACCGCCATTTGACTTTCCAGTTGCATAAATGCGAGAAGTATCGATACAGTATGTCGTTTCAAGGTGATCCAGCAGCTCCAAGGCAAACGCTACATCGTCAATAGATTCCGGAGCATCAGGGTCGCCCTGGAATTGCTGAGTCCCCTTTTTGTTCTGTGGCATGTCAGCAACTTTTCATGCTGTGTATTCGTGTAATGGCGTACCGGCACTCCCTCAGGATACACTGCAACACCTTCAAATCCATAGCTCGCGTTGGAGAATTGACTCAAAGCTTCCTCATATTCGGCAGTTTTGCCTCGGCCATGGAACGATAATATCAGTGGGACAGGAGTGTTGCTTTCGTATGATGTGGGGATATGTAGGCGGTACCCACGAGGTGTGACGCCGCTTTTGCTATCAATGGTTAGACTTGTAGATTCCCCTGGAAGGACACCGTCAGGAAGTGGCTTGTCGCATCCGCTACTATTATCTGCAACAAGTACAGCAGCAAGCGCTGACAAAATTAATAAAGCGTTCATAGTTCTGTGGATTCAATCATGCTGAGAACACTATTCCTGAGCGCTTAAATGTACCGAGCGACTTTCAGGCGTGCCAAAGACTGACGTTGAATAGAAATCGCGTACGTAAGCAATGATTCCACCACTTTGCCTTTTTCGGGTACCAGCTGCATTGGCCGTGCATTAGCGACAACCCAGCTGCCACGCTGAGGCGAAAGAATCCAGATGCGGCATCATAGGTCAGAGGCGAATAAATTCGCATGGAATATACACACACATATGCATACCATAGGAAACTGTCACCGGCTTCCTCTCAAGCACGCGATGAGCTGACTGGTGTGAATCTGACAAAGAGTTGAACGTCATATTGAAAAAAGCATACCTTAGTCATTTCTCCATCCTACATAGACTTCGTCCGTCCTGAAGCGTTGCGTGCATGTCGTGTCGCTCAACTTTGTTATCACGCCCGTGCCGTACTCCAGCAAGCCTGCATGGGCAATCATGATGCCATTATCGATGCAGAACATCTCGTCAGTGGCGAATACGTTGCCGCCACGATCCCTTGCCATCATGCCCATCATCTGCTGCAATCTTAAATTCGAACCCACGCCGCCTACAACTAGGACTTGCTGGGAGCCAACATGTGCCATGGCACGCTCTGTGATCTCGACCAGCATGGCAAATATGGTCTCCTGGAGCGAGAAACACATGTCTGCCTTTGTCACGAGTTCTCCATCTTCGGTCTTTAGTCGTTTTTCGTCAGGTAACGACTCGTCTAGGCCATGTGCAAGGAGGTCGGCTGCCGCCAATATTCCTGAGAAACTTGCGTCCATGCCCTTAACACCATACGGTAGGTCGACCAGGTTCTTCCCCTTCTTTGCCAACTGCTCAACATTGTAACCTGGGAAGGGGTCATTGGGTATCATAAGCGTCCTAGCAAATCGATCTATGCAGTTCCCTATTGCAATATCCAGAGTCTCACCAAAGATCCGATAGCGTTGGGCAGAATATGCGATTACTTGGGTATTTCCACCAGAGACGTAAAGGACGACAGGGTTGTCAGCGCGTGTTATTGACCGTCCCATTTCAATGTCTACATCGCGTCAGCATTATGCTATTTGCTGAGAAGCAAAGGATATACTGACGTCCAACGCAATGGTTCACACCAACCATGGGCTTATTCCAGAGCAGGCTTATTGTTCTTGCGGCAAGCGCGACGCTTTGTAATGGCGCACCCATCCCAGGACCTTTTGTATAACATATGCAATCGATGTCCTCAACCCTTACACCAGCCTGGCGCACCGCTTGCTTTATGAGCCGCACGACCCATGTCCGGTGGTGTATCGCAGTGTCCTTTGGCAAGAAGCCTTCGCCAGGTGGGGAATTATACGTGTGCCGCAGGTTTGCAAGTATGATGGGTGGTTTGTTCGGCCCAGGATGGGATATGATACCAATCCCTATCTTGTTCGCGCT